CCAAGAGATCAAAGTTAACATTCACCAGTGATAAGACGTATCTACATCATACATGTCCAAATATGATGCACTGAGAAGGGCACAACTTCACCACTGTGGTATTCTCGCCAAAAATGCTTAACCCTCAATTTAATCACAAAACAACACCAGATAAATCCAACCTGAGGGACACTCTGCAAAATAACTGACCAGTACTCTTCAAAAGAATCAAGGTCATGAAAGATAAAGAAATCTGAAAGGAACTGTCACAGATTGGAAAAGACTAAGGAGACATGATAATTAAATGCAGTGTGGATCCTCAACCAGAAGAAGGACATCAAGAGTGAAACCTGAGCAAAGTCTTTAGATTAACTGTATCAACTGCCTGGTTTGGATAACTACACTACAGTTACATAAGATGTTAACAAAGGGATGCTGGTTCAAAGGTATACAGGAACTCTCTGGACTATTTTTGCAATTTTTTTATAATTTTAAAATTATTTCAGGGCCAGCCCTGTGGCTTAGCGGTTAAGTGCGCACGCTCTGCTACTGGCAGCCCAGGTTTGGATCCGGGGCGCGCACCGACGCACCGCTTCTCCGGCCATGCTGAGGCCGCGTCCCACATATAGCAACTAGAAGGATGTGCGACTATGACATACAATTATCTGCTGGGGCTTTGGGGGAAAAAAAGGAGGAGGACTGGCAATAGATGTTAGCTCAGGGCAGGTCTTCCTCAGCAAAAAGAGGAGGATTAGCATGGATGTTAGCTCAGGGCTGATCTTCCTCAAAAATAAGTAAATAAATAAATAAAATATTAAAATAAATATTAAAATAAATAAATATTAAAATAAATAAATAAAATTATTTCAAAGTAAAAAGTTTTTAAAAATCATCTCAGATGAATGATAAAAAGGTATGGGGGATCACTCATTAACTCTAACATAAAAATATACTACCTCTTCCAATAATTGTTCTAAAAAAATCCCAATAATTGCAAATAAGGCTTAAACTGGAATAAACTGTAATTATTCCACAAAAACCTTTGATTGGGATAATCTAGAGAGCAAAGTAACTTTCCTAGGGCACTAAAATCTCTCCAGATAAATAACCTACCTTATTTTCCCCCTTACTCTTTTTTAATTCAATTCAATGTACATTTATTTAACATCTACTATGGGCATGTCACTGTGCTGAGGCCTGATAAGATTTTGATATATAACAAAAGAACATTTTAGTACACAAAATAAGAGAGAGTAACAAAACTGGAAGTAATTTTTCACTCCTATGTAATCTAGCAATCAATATGGACACCCTTTTTAGTGCGATTGCTGCTAAGACTGAGGGTCCTCACAGCTCAAGTGTATCCCCTTCAACAGTGAGTGGTTCTGACCTCTAGAGTTATCTCCAAAAATTATCCTTGAAAATGCCATAATGACTCTCGCCAGGAAATATTCCATTTCTAGTACTTTTTTCCATCTAATGTTTATGCTGTTAGTGTATTACTGTTCATAACACAAAATTAAAGAACTTGATTCTCTGAGTACCAGGGAAAGGTTAGGCTGGGATAAACCCATGGAGGTTTACTTACTCTCCTCTTATAAGAGATCAAAGGCAACATCAGGGCCGGCCCCATGGCTTAGCAGTTAAGTGTGCGAGCTCTGCTACTGGTGGCCCGGGTTCGGATCCCGGGTGCGCACAGACGCACCACTTCTCCGGCCATGCTGAGGCCGCGTCCCACATACAGCAACTAAAAGGATGTGCAGCTATGACATACAACTATCTACTGGGGCTTTGGGGGGAAAAAAAAAGGAGGAGGATTGGCAATAGATGTTAGTTCAGGGCTGATCTTCCTCACAAAAAAAAAAAAAAAAAGGCAACATCATGTAAGGCCAGGTTTCTCAAAGAAAAAAAGAGCCAGCATCTTTAACATCACCCAGGAAGTTGTCAAAAATGCAAATTCTCAGTCCCAGCACAGACCTGCTGAATCAAACACTCAGCCCAGCATCTGTGTTTTCACAAGCTCCCCAGCTGACTCTGATGCACCTTCAGTTTCAGAACCACTGATGGAACAGCAGAAAGACTGGCCCATAAATCAGGAGGCCTGATTCCAATCCCTGCTCTGCCACTAATCTCTACAAGGGATTAGTCACTTCGCTTCTGTGGGGCTCAGCCTCCTTGTCAGACAGTGAGGGAACTGGAACAGCTCACTGCCACAGTCTAAGGACTATCCTAATTTGACAACTATGAAGGCATTCATTTGTATAAGGCCTAAAAGTGAAAACACCACCACAGTATTTCACCACATATTTCTCTCTTTCATCAAAATGAAACAATTAAAATTTCTTCATCAACTGGTCTCTGAATCATATTTAACATATCTAAAATAATTTTTTCTTATTTTAAATAAAACTGTGTTTACTACTTTGCTTTAGCAAAAGCCATATAAATGCTAATTTTACAGTTTCCTATTTAGTTCTATATAAAGTCTATTTGGGAGAAATTCCACATAATAACAAAAATTCCAAGAAACCCATCGACTACAGACTGAATTGCGTACCCCCCAAAATTCTTATGTTGAAGCCCTAATCCCCAACATGATGGTATTTGAAAGTGGGGTCTTCGGGAGGTAATTAGGTTTAGATAACGTCATGAGGGTAGGGTCCCCAAGATGGGATCAGTGTCCTTATAAGAGGAGGAAGAGAGACCAGACTTCTCTCTACATCTCTGCCATGTGAAGACACAGCAAGAAGGTGGCCATTTGCAAGCAAAGAAGAGCCTTCACCAGGATCCAGCACCTTGATCTTGGACTTAAACTCCAGAACCTGAAAAATAAATGCCTGTTGTTTCAGCCACCCAGGGCTATGGTATTTTGTTATAGCAGCCCAAGCTGACTCAGACACTCACTCAAAGTTCCCCTCTGGTGTGGGGATCTAACACACCAGGCTATAGTTCAGAACTGTGCTCCCATCCTCGCATAAAGAACGTGTGTGATAAGACCACAGAAGTATTTAATGAGAAACAAAGAATTTTAAAATGTATAGATCTAGATACTTCCATTACTAATAAGAAACACAGCTTAATTTCATCTCCTATTCATGTATTTATAAAAAACTGGGATTCTTCTCACAACCTCTGAAACCTAAGATACAAACCTCTCAGAGGAGATGTGAGAAAGAGCAAAAGAGGAGAATCAAATAAGAAGAGTCTGTTTTATAAAAGGTTAGAGCGTTCTCCTAGAATAAATGTTGGGAGAAATGTCCCATCAATCAAGTGAGTACCCACTAATCCTTGAGATCTAACTCAAATTCTATATCCTGCAAGCTCTCACCACCCCTTCCCAGTTAGTCAAGACATAACTTCCTCTGTGGTCCCATATCTCCATTTTAGCACTTAGCAAAAGGTATTATATTTGTTCATGTATCTTTCTCCTCAACCAGATCTTGAAATCATCTGGGGCAGTGTGTTACTCTCTCCAGCACCTAGAACGGTGACTGGCATGAAGCAGGAACCAAGGTTTGTTGAAGTGGAGCCACTTTGCTTTGCTGAATACCAGTGGAACTCTCTGTACTATCTTGCAGCTTTTCTGTAAATCTGAAATTATTCCAAAATAAACAGTTTTTTAAATAAAAGGCACCAGTAGCAACTGTGTTATCAGTAATAATCACACCTGCCTTACACATCACACAAGACATCAGCTACTAGAAAGGCTTGCCTTACTGTTTTTCAGACATGCCAGTAGGAGTCAGTAATCTTGCATGTAGCAAACTTGAAAAAGAATGAATAACAAACACTTGAGATCTGAATCCTGACGTTAACTTTGGTCAAATTATTTAATCTGGGTCTCAGTTTATAAAAAGCGGATAGTAATTTTACTCTACAAAGTTGCCGTGCTAAATGAAGTATGCAGAGTATATATCAAATGAGCTCTCCTAATGATGTTCTAATTAAGATACGTTAGCGCCTTTCCCTATGCAGTGTTCCAACTGGACTAACGCTTCACCGCAAACTAGGTGCATACTGTAACCAGTTCCACTGGCACCGACTGTAAAGTTATAACTCAATCACCATTCGGGCTCTGGTTACCTATAACATAAAGAAATCCTACATGTGTGTCCACAGATGCCAACCCTACCAAGATGTCCTAGCGTAGAACTACCCAGTGAAATAAATGGGCTATTCGAAACTCAAGGCAACCGACAGGGGTCAGCAGCTCCAGGCACCCACCTCCACCAGACTAAGCTCCAGAAAGCGGGCACGCACACTCAGGACGTGCTCGCCCGCTGGAAGAGGTGGGTATCTACAGGCACAAATCCCGCTGCTGCAAACAGCGGTGTGCAGCAACCGGGGGTCTCCTCCAGTTGCTGAGAGCAGCTGAACCCTGAGGGGCCAGGACCCTCCACTTCCAGTCGTGGTGCTCTCGGGCCCCAGCGTCCTCCACGGAAGGAGGCGCGGGTGGCAGTGGCGCATCGGTGCACGGGGGGAGACCGGGAGTGGGCGGCAGCTAGGAAACCACTGCCCAGACGATAAACCGACACCGGGCAGCTCCGCGCCCGGGCGCGCGCGTCCCAGTCAAGAAGCAGGGCGGTCGGAAGCGCCCCGACTGCGTGCAGGGGAGCGTGGGGCGCCCGGGGCGCCGCTCCTGCGCTGACAGCCCGGCCCCGCGGGGAAACCGAGGCCCGCCGGGCGCTCGTGAGCCCGGCCCGCGGAGCCAGCAGGTGAG